GGCATCGACACGTCTTTGGCCCTCGTACAGTTTTCAGTGAACAGCAAACAAACATAAATTTAATCAACTTCATATCTCATATCTGCTTAATATGAATAACAGGGGAACAGCTTGTTAGGAAGCCTATGAAACTGGTTTTCAGTCAGCTGCTCAAATATTTTAAGCCTCTGGAACTGTGGAGGACTACGTATAAAAATAGCTGTAATTCTGAAACAGTTATTGCAATACTTGATAAACCTGCTAAATTAATTACTATGCCTTAACTGATTTATTTAAATCAACTGTGGTGATTCACAGTAGTGGAATTACAATTCTTTGAATGTGGGTGCTTTTTGTTAAAAGGGTTGTGTGTCATTTGAGTTGGGTTTTTTTTGTTCTTTTTTTGGGGGGGCTATATATTTATGTGTGAATATAATAAATATATAAATGGTAAATGGCCTGTACTTATATTGCGCTTTACTAGTCCCTAAGGACCCCAAAGTGCTTTACATATCCAGTCATCCACCCATCCACACACTGGTGATGGCAGCTACATTGTAGCCACAGCCACCCTGGGGCGCACTGACAGAGGCGAGGCTGCCGGACACTGGCGCCACCGGGCCCTCTGACCACCACCAGTAGGCAACGGGTGAAGTGTCTTGCCCAAGGACACAACGACCGAGACTGTCCAAGCCGGGGCTCGAACCGGCAACCTTTCGATTACAAGACGAACTGCCAACTCTTGAGCCACGATCGCCCCAAAGTGGGGGCTCGTCCGGGATATTTGGACATTTTAGTGGAGATTGAATATAAGTTGAGCTAACACTTGGCACTTTGAAATTGAATGCCTAAAGCACCTGGTGACCATGCGAACAACTATTTTCACAACTGTGTGTCTGAGTGACATTAACGAAACAAACCCGTGCACACAGATCAATAGAGAAATGTTTTTTCCAGCATCAGAAAAGGGTAACGCTGACTCTGTCATCCCAAAAGACATGAAGAGATCTGAAGTAGTGCATAAAATTGAGTCAGTACCCTGAAGATCAGACTTTAACTGCCTATTAGGACAGTTTTACAGCCAGTCCCACTGCAGCAGGGGACCTGCTCATTCAAAACGCTCCCACAGGCCGAAAAACAGTCAGAGTTACTAATGAGACCATAGCCAGCAGTGAGGAGGAAAAAATGCAAAATTAATAGCTGCTTTACATTCATCACTTATAAACTGGACGTTTAGTAATGATTTTCACTGAGTTTTGACACCTCAGGAAATATCAGTGAAGATGTGGTTAGAGTAATTTCCAGGTTTGTCCAGGGGCAGCCGCACAGGCAGAGACCCCCCCTCTAACATCTGATGTACATCCAGCCGACTGAAATACGGGCTGCTGCTGGTAGACTTTCAAGGGGTAAAGAAGAGGAAGTGATGCAGTCATGGCTGACAGGGTGATTTATTTATTTCCCCCTTGTTTCTGTTTATTAGTATCTCATCTAGTCTCAAGTCTCACTTGTATGAGAAGCTTGTTAAAAAACAAAGAAACTTCTTTCTATTTTTCTAATCATTGTTTTTCTCTCGTTGACATCAACTCTAATTTCTTGCACGTCACATCGATCGACTTTTCTAAATTGCCACGTCTGGGATATTTGCTGTTTTTCTTCTATGACAGGAAAATAATTAGACAGGCATGTTTGTTCCAAACATACCGAAGAGAACAGATGTGACAGAAGCTGATGAGTTTTCCCAGGAGCAGAACTTTGTCAGAAAAACACGAGAGACGTAGCAGGAACTTTCTCCTGCAAGTTGAAAAAACATGGAGTTTAATCTCGCAGATTTTAAGGACGCGATGTGCAAAGCGTTTAAATATTTCATGCTCTCTCTGAGCACAAGTCAAGGATAAAAACAAATTGGCAAATCTGTTTCTGTCCTTGATTAAGAGACTTAAAAAAAGTGCTTACAAAGTCATTAAGAAAACATCTACATGAGTGTGAAAATGTAAATGCACAAAACCAAAAAATCCACATGTGCTGCAGTTCTGACAGATTATAATGGAAGTGACTGCAAACTGACAACAATAACATCAGCTGTTAGTTTGTGACGGTGTGAACATCGAAGCATCACCACCATCGTCTGTGACCCCAGAAATATGTTTCAGTTGTGTGTCTCTGCAACACATGTTGTCAACTTCATGAAGATAATATTTGCTGATAAGTCGTCTGGGCTTGGATGTGTGTTTCCTTGAACAGGATCGAATGTTTTACTTTTATAAGTCTGTTCCTTAAACATTTAATGAATCCGTCTCAGCGTCAGTGTTTGCAACAATACACAAACAAGTGCAGAGATTGCAGTTCCTACTCGAGTCTGACTCCGAAAGCGAGTCAAACCCCACAGACTCAAAAATAAACATGTAGCCTGTTAGATTAAAAATTACAGTTTGATATTTTCCTGTCATAATTATAAATACTTGAAACTCAACCTAAAGTCTTTATAATGAAGGCCTGCTTTGAGTGGGAGGTGGTTGGATCCTTTAACCTGAACTCGTCTGTGGATGAATCTTCCAAACTTTAATCGTTAGCAGATGTCTTAGCACTGAACCCTCTCATCTACGATCACATCTGATTAACAAAGATGGTGAAATCCAAAATGAACCATTGGCTAACCTCCAGACAGGAGACTTGTATGAGCACAAGAGGAACAGACTCTGAACAACATGCATTTCTTTCCTAGGACCCCTGACATTATCAAATGTTGCCTTGCACCTGTAACAGTTCAGCAAACAATCATCCACTGAGGAAAACACAGTTTAAAGGTTGCCAAGCAAATTAAATAATCATCTGTGGCACATAACAAAGCTTTAAGTCTTAAATGCAAATGTCCCTCTGGTCTGTATACATGCTCGAGTGGTTTCGGCTCCATTTGTGATTCCAGCACTTAAAATGTTACTCTGTGGATTGAAGTCACGGCTCATATCTGTTAATGCGGCAGCACATTAGCTTCTAAACCAAAGCAGAACACAGGGAACAGTGAGGTGTGTGAATCCTCACTGCTGGGTACAGTTAGGAACAAAAGCTGCTGCTGCACTGCAAGCCCGGGCGCTTTTGTTAGGTTTCATTTCCTTTTACACTAAGGTCTAACACGAGGAACGCCTTCTCTTTGCAGTGGCAGTGCAAGAGTCTTCAGGTGTTGCTTGGGCTGAATTGCTAATTGACCACACTTGGTGAGGTGTAAATGGTAAATGGCCTGTATTTGTATAGCGCTTTACTAGTCCCTAAGGACCCCAAAGCACTTTACACATCCAGTCATCCACACACTGGTGATGGCAGCTACATTGTAGCCACAGCCACCCTGGGGCGCACTGACACAGGTGAGGACACTGGGGCCCTCTGGCCACCACCAGTAGGCAACGGGTGAAGTATCTTGCCCAAGGACACAACGACCGAGACTGTCTAAGCCGGGGCTCGAACCGGCAACCTTCCGATTACAAGGCGAACTCCCAACTCTTGAGCCACGACACTAGTAGCTGCTGGGACTTCGAGTTACCGCTTTCCAACCAGGACAGGCTTCTAGACTTGTATGACTGAAAGAAAGAAAACAACTGTAGCTCATTTCCTCTTCAGCTGTTTTTCAAACTGCTTTAATGTTAGCGAGTCTTGTAAACGTTCAGATTTTATGGGGTAAAAAAATGAAATAAACACCAAACATTTCATATTTCCTTCTGGCTGCTCCGGCTTTGCAGTCAGCCTGAACTGAAGGGCGCCTGAGTACAAAACAGAAAAGTCTCCTTTTTAAAGAAAGACTCTAAAGTATGTTCAAAAAGTTTAACACTGCATTCTCCTTTGAAAAGACTTCATTCAGCGAGACTTAAAAGCCAAAAGGTAGATGCTGAAATGTTGAGATTTTCTCCATGTTCCTCCTTTCTGTAGCACAATAATACGACACTCTGTGGTGAAGAGGTGACGATATATAGTCAACTGCTGAATTTTATTTCACTTCAAGGCTACTCTTCATAACTTATATTATTACTCATCTTATTTTTTCTTCATCTTAAGCCTTTCATAGATTTTAAAGAGTTGTTAATTCCACAAATTAAATATTATTTTTTTTCTGCAAGCCTGTCAGTTATCCTGTCAGTTATCCTGTCAGTTATGCGTCTTTCACCTTCAAACCTTAAAAATCGTGTCTTTAATATAATTATAAAATCTTAAACTGATCCAGATGAAAATTTCTGAGACACGAGCAACACTGGTGCATCTCAACTTGCCTATGAATTCTCCTCCATTATCTGCCACCCAATCAGGAGCCATGTTTGAGAGAGGGCAATCTTTCTGCATGTTTTGATATTAGACACGGAGGATGATGGTGTAATGGTTTATCTTCCTTTGATTTCTAGATTATACCAAAGGACAATGAGACACGGTCGACTTTGATGTATAAGTACATCATCCATGAAGATTCGGTGCCCATCAACAATAACAATGTCATCCAGGAGGAGACCTATGAGTGGGCTCTGAAGAGCTGGTCTCCCTGTTCCAAGCCGTGTGCTGGAGGTAAACTCAGAAACTACCTTCACTTTTAAAAAATTAATGAAGATGAATAAATACTTTTCATCTAATTATCAAAATTGTATATTGATGTTTCATATTCAGTCATTCAGTCTATGGGTGTTTGTGATGATCTGCTTTTATCCACATTCTCAAGCTGTGTCTTTGAAGTAAGAAATTATTGACTGAGTGAGCTCATTAAACCAAATATTTTGTCTTCAAACAAGATGATTGACATACATTTGTTATATGCACTTCTAACCACAAAGTCTTTTCATTTGCATGGATACACAGAATATCGAAAAGGTGTTATTGGCAGTACTTACTGTTTCTTAGTGTAGGAAAGATAAGGTTGGTACTTGATATAAGATTGATTTTTGCTACCCTAACCTTTTCTTTTTCTTTTCCCCCAATGGTCAGTAGTCCTAAAAAAAACCCTTCATTTATCATTTCTCTACTGTGTTTTTGGTATTATTCATCCCTGTGCACAGAACATTAGCATTTCAAATCTGCAGAATTGGCCAACAAAGATCATTGTGAGCATAAAGTTCACGACTTCATAGCTGGAAATATTTCAAACAAAGAAACATTAATATTTGTCAAATTTTGCATCTTATTATATCTACTTGATATGTGACCTCTGACCTTTAATGTGGGAACAGCATGAAATTTGTAATCCTGCAAAAGAAAATTACACATTTGGAATGGAATGGTTCTTATGCAACACTTTTATACTTGAGTACTTAAAGCACTTTGCACATGAACTGTTACCTGCAGTTCTTTCCCTTTTTGATGTCGACCCAGAAACTTCTCAAAAGCGTTGCATGTGCTTGTGTGTTTTATATATATATATATATATATATATTTATATTAGCCTGAATACACCTCTAAGATTTTATGCAGCAGGCTTAAGCTCAATAATTGTCCACAAGCTCGCTGGTATTTAATTTAAAAGTAGACAAAAGCTTTAAGACATATTTTAAACTTAAAGGAAATTAGATATAAAAATGTGACTTGAGTAATTGCAAAGGAACTTTGAAGTTTGAAAAGTCAAACCCCAGGAAAAGGATGTAAACTGTCTTTCTAATTAAAACATTGGGTTTTTGGGGGTGGGGGTTTTCTGGACAGGGTTTCAGTACACCAAGTATGGATGTCGGAAAAAGGGAGACACCAAGATGGTTCATCGAGGCTACTGCGACGCCGGCAAGAGGCCCAAACCCATCCGAAGAATGTGTAACCTTCAGGACTGCACACAGCCTCAGTGAGTACAGGCCTCCCCTCATCCTCCAGCTAAAGAAAGGTTTCTGTTAAACTTCTACTCAAGCTGGACCTCTAGGATGAGGAACAGCCAGCATTAAGTCTCAGTCATTCCCAGTGGGACTGACTCCACCAGAGTTGCCACTGATGAACAGAATCAGTGGCAACTTATGAACAGAATTTCTAAGTGCAGCTGAGGAGCAGAGAGTATCACAGCCAGTGGTCTCGAGAGCTCGTCAGGGCTTTTTGTGGATAATGTGGCCCTCTTGGCTTCATCAAATGGCGACGTCCAGCTGACACTTGAGGGGTTTGCAGCTGAATTTGAAGTGTTTGGGTTGGGAATTAGCACTTCCAGGTCTGAGGCCATGGTTCTCAGATGGAAAAGAGTGGAGTGCAAAATCAGTGTAGGGGATGAATTTCGTCCTCAAGTGCCAGAGTTTAAGTATATCAGGGGCTTGTTGAAGAAATTGACAGTAGGA